AAACTGATTACGTAATTTCATGTAAAAAATATCATGGCAAAAAAATTCACATGATCATATGAAATGTCGAATAAAAATTATTTTTGTAGTGCCGAGTGAAATTATGTTTATCGTGCACTAGAATTACAGTATTTTAATGCCGGCTGAATTAAGTAGTTAATACGGAATAACAGTATTAATGTACATCTATCAAATATACTTGCAAGTCGAAAATGTGTACCGGGTTGTGCTCCGGATGATTCATTAATGATATCATCGATTACAGCTATTCTCATAAATTTTGGAACATCTAGTATAAAAGTGACCGAATGATTATTTGGCCGATTCGATAAGTTATTGATTTCGGCATGTTCAGTGTAACGGTTGTTATTTACATAGATAAGTACGTACGTACATTTTAAACTGATTACTAACGCTAATCCATTTGTAAATTAAAACTCGCGTGAAAATATAAAATACTACAAGACTTAAACGACTTCTATTTTTACGTCCTAACCAAAGTTCCATCTTTGATTGTAATTCATAAAAATACTAGTTAGACTTTCTTCCATTAAAACCTTAAGATATTTTATATCATTCAGGTTTAGTGGACGTGGTTTTCTTACAAGTGGCGGAAGTTTTTCAACACATCCATACCCCTTTGAAATTGAAGATCTGCTAACATCTAAGTGTTTAGCAATTGTCGAACTGATAATTCTTCTAAATTGTTTTTGACTATTTTCCAGCGAATGTGCTTCGAAAATATCATATTTAACCAGTGTTATATCGGTATTGGTTATCTGGTTATTATCAATTAAAATTGTCACTGCTGCACCGTAAATAATATGTTTCACATGAGTTTTAATTTACAAATCGATTGGTAATCAATTCAAAACATATATACGTAGATACGTACATACGTACGTAACTGGCTTTAGCTGTTAGGCTATCTACGTAAATAATGAACGTTACACTGATCACGCTGAAATCAATAACTTATCGAATCGGCCAAATAATCATTCGGTCAATTTTTTACCAGATGTTCCAAAATTTATGAGAACAGCTGTAATTAAATAAACTATCGCTATACTATGCTAATAAGTAATTATCGTTATTTTCAAGGCCAATTCGTTTCGTTTCTTTATTAATTCATTTCATATCTCGCTTCATATTTCACTTCATATTTCGCTTCACATTTCATATTTCGCTTCATATTTCGCTTCACACTTCGCTTCATATTTCATATAAATAAAAAAAATAATAATAAAATCAAATAATAATAAAAGTACAACCCGATTCGTTCAATTTACCCAATCTTTTTTTTTGCACATTCTTTCCAAACATTAGTTCTCAATAACCGTTTTTCACATGTTCTTTATTCATGCTTAATTTTATAATAAAGGAACAAATATAAGTTGTTTTTAAAAGTATAAATACAATATTTAAATAAAGTTTTGACATGACATACATTATGTAGATACTTTATACTTATGAGAACATTATTATTATTTTATTGTTCTCAAAAAAATTTTTAATAGTGAACAGTAAAAAATTTACTCTGTGCATAAATTTTATCATGGTGTTCTTATGAGAACTCTGAGAACACTAATTTCCAACACTGGTCACGTAGCAGTACAGATGACCCTCATTAATATCAGCCCATTTGGATTGATTTTAAATCCATGTTAATAGTGATATTATAAGGGAATTTTAATACATAAAAATATATAAAAATTTGGTTTGTGGCTTAGCTTGATATTAACGAAGTTGATATTAACGAGGGTCCTCTGTATCACATAGTAAGTATAAAAGACATGTACGTACGTACGTCTTTTTGCACGTCAACACAACAGATTATCACGCTCATATATAACCCATCTTGTAACAAGTCAAATGTAGCTCTTTCAATTCTTCATGAAACTTAAAAAAAAAAAATCTGGTATATTCAAACTCGATATTCTTGATTATCAAAAACAGCCACCAACAAAAGAAATATTGTTCAATATCTTGGTGTTGAACATGACTTAAATAAAATTCTTCGAGATGACGTTTCAATTGCAGCCGGTGAGGAATGTACACAAGAAACAGTAAAGACAGTTCATACTATTAGTGAATTGTCAGAGATGATTAAACAACAATCTTCCAAACTGCAAAGACCTATTTTAGTGGATTGGAATAAAGGCAAAGAGATTATTGCTCGTCTTCCAGAAACAGTTGAAGGGTTTTTGAAAGAGTTGGGATGTTATGAACCACTTCTTTTTTTTGAATTATGATATTAATAGACAATTTGGGTTTTGGATCGGGATTCCTTCTTCATTTTAAATAATATCAAAATTCCAAATACAAGTTACTCTCGTTATAGTGAACTCTCGATATAGTGAAGACTAATTAAAATCGCGATATAGTGAAGTTAAGCTAAAGCCAGTTTATATAAAATTCTCTCGATATAGTGAATTTAC